TCCTCCCTTGAACGTAAAGTGCGGGAGCAAAATAGGAATAATAATAATAGAAAAGCCGCTCCTAATCGCGAGGATATCAGAGGCGCATGTAACATTTGTGATCAGGGCGCTGAAAACCATATTACACAGTTGAATATCGATGTTGGAGGAAAAGAAGGTAGCGACAGTTCAGCGGAGGCACCATTCTGGCCGAGTCTACTTCTCAAGGGGCAGACAGAGGTAGGTGAATGGACAGGAAGACTACAATACACCAACTATTTTCTTGTCTGTCTTGTCTCGCGTGGGTACAAAACCGTCCACTGGCCACTTTTCTAAGAGAGGGCGAAGCAGGCATGACGGCGTTGCCGCGCTACATCGTGGTCACCCTCGGGTACTTTCATTTCTCCATCTTGCGCAGATGTAGGCTGGAACTTGTCTTCACACACCGCCTAACTTGCGATTGGTACTCGTTTCGGCTCCATTTGTCTGTGACACCCCAGAGGTGAATCCACAGTTGTCGCATGGGCGGCGCCAGACCCTCCTCATTGGTTCGTCGCTTCTCTTGGACGTCTTATAACAGAGTGGCGCACCGGGTGAGGTAGGGACAATGGACGAGTATGAAATACACCTTTATGCCTGCAAGAGAATTGTCAAACTAATTATAGACTTTCAGACTCCACTGCAACGAATATTCCGTTCGATGGTGATCTGGGCTATCTGGATCGCTGTGATTGGAAATTTTCTCGTTTCCCAATTCACTATCTCCTATTCGCCGCTGTATCTGTCGTATGTTCTCGGATATCCCACGACTATCGCTGGAGTTCTCACAATTGCTCCACTGGGCGCTCAGGTGAGACTGTTTTGATATGCGCTCTATTCAGATTGTGTTCTCCTTCGCAGAAAACGCTCCAAAGTATTTTTTCAGTTGGTTATAAAACTGTTTACTGGTCTCGCCTCAGACCGCCTCACGTGCCTGCCAGAGGTGGGCAAGCTGCGCCTCTTCAATTCCATTGCACTTCTTGGCTCCGGGCTTTTCTTTATTCTGTTGGCAGTGGTTTCACCAGCTGGCGGGGCTATTGATGTGGTTCTTATCAGTGGGTTTTCCTCTTCTACTTTCGCTTTTCTTTCCTTTTCATGATTCATTACAGTAATCCCGATTGCTCTGCTTGGCTTCACTTCTGGCGGTTATCCAAAATGTGTGGTGATAGTATCCCAGCAACATACTCCGTTTGTAATGTCTATCGTGCAGGTATGTCGGCTCAGGCCCGATCGAACAGAGGTGTATGTTATGCAATAATTTCTGATAGCAATTATAGTTTGGAAAATTAAAAAGGAAACTGCATGCGTATATTACCTCTCTTTCGGTAGCCGAGAGGCTTGAAATGGGACTCCATGGCACATTCCACGATCACCTGAGAGCTGGTTTTTTCAGCCATGAGCAGCCCTGGAGCCGCTTTCGCCGCTCAAAGTTGAGTGGAAAAGATCCCAAGACTTGGTGTTCTGTGCGAGACTCCGCCCACTGTCTTGCCGCTCCACCCACTATATGACGAAGAAAAATTCAGTAGCAAAAAAATCTTGGCATACTGAGGAACAAGAACGAACGCTGGTTGCCCCCACAATATTTTCTCTCTACACAATCCCTCTCTCACAACCTACCTACGCTCTTACTAAATTTTTCCAAAATTTTGCTCTCGAGTGGGAGAGTAGGTTGGGTGTACAACGCGAGTAAAAGGAACCATCTATGCCAGCAATCCAAAAAAAGTGTTTCGAGGCCAAAAGAGACCCTCCCCCTCCTAAAGCAGCTGCTTATATGACCCTTCCTTTACGATATTATAATGTGCCACTGTTCCCAGAGCCTTTTAATCTTTTGTGGAGAACTCTCTATAGAGTAGTTAACATGGACTGGAATGGACTACATAATATGACCTATTGCATGCATAATTATCCATCGAAAACAAGAGCGTTTCGTTGAGCGTTTTGCTAACAAAAGCGAAATTGTCCCGTATTGGTTGGGGATCAAATATAAAAATAAATATTTTCATAGTTTGATGAACTAAAGCAGTAGAAGCGGATGAGAATTCCATCATGATAACATCACAGGCAAATTACAGTGATTCAGATATGACTAATGTTTTTAAGATTATCGCCTGTGCTTCACTGCTAACCGGATCGTTTCTGGTCCCAGCGCTCACCAAAAGACGATACTTTCGAGCAATGGCGGAACGTATTCCTCATTTATGCATTCGTGCTGACATTGTCAAATACGATTTTCATCGCATTTGCAAGGTATTTATTGGTTTTTATGGGCGCAGTTCGGCGACAGGGGGGGGGGACATTTTGCACTATCGCTGCGTCACTAGTTCCGGTTCACAAGTCTCACTTGGTGAAACCTGTGAACTCTTGTGAATCTGGAGCAAGCTCGTCTAGCCACCATGGTAGAACCTGTCGAACTCATGTAAGCTCATGAAATAGCTCTCTAGATGGGTTGATATGTCGACGGGAAGTAGCAAAAGTGCAAAATACCCTCCCACGTAACTCCCCCGTTTCTATAGGATATTTTGCGTTGTGACCGTCGCATGCTTTCTCTCCATTGTAAAGCTAGATCGTAAATTCAAAGGTGCCGTATTGGTGGAGACATCGGCTGAGACATTCAACTCCAGCTGTTTCCCTGTGGTGCGCTCATCCATCTTCTGTCATTATTACAGGAGACGGGCAAGAGGATCGTAATTTGCCGCTCCGCCGCGCGCGGCGATGGGCGCGGCGTTTTCTTAACTCGTGTTAACCTGTCGATTGGAGCACCGGACTTCATGTAGACCCCGTCATCGTAGACATTCATGACTATTTTCGGTTCTGAATTGCCTGTTGTCGCCATCTGCTAGTGGAACCGTTGTCATTTGCAGACGCGACGTTGCACGCGACGCCACCAGGGTGGTGAATAACGATTCTCTTGTCACATACCCCATTATTACTGCAAACAAGAGGTATTGTGAAGGTGCGTGAACTGGAGCGCAGGTCAGGAGCCCTTCTTCACTAGTTTGTTCCTGTGTCCGGACTACTTTTTGGAGAATATTGCTTCGGCTCCGCTGTCTCTTTATACGCCCCCTCGTTTGCAGGGATAACGACTGGGATAGGAAAGGAGAAGAGAGTAGGAAAGCGCTAGGAGAGCGCCAATGAGGAAATTACAGTAGTACTCCGCCCATGTAAGCGTGCACAGTAGTCAGGGTACGGCATCGACATTGGGGAAACAGCGGTATTAGTACAACCCTCCCCCGGTTTTCTCCTTTGCTACAACCCCCCTGCCGCGCTCACAGAAATCCTTGACGATATCCACCATTACTTCAAATTTCACCGCACATTCATTAGTAGAAAGCATGAGAACACCTACCACAATCCTGCTTGGTCGCCTTCTGAACTACCTTGGCAACTAGACCAGAATACGAGTAAGTAATCTATCAGGGAGTGGAGCTGCACCAATTTATTTGACTTGCACGTCAAAGGTGTTGGCACTGGGGTCCGAATGTGGCCTGCACGTCCCCAGTAACCCGCAAGTGAAGAAAAGAAGCTCATAATAAATAACTTACTGAAGTAACGCCAGGGCGAGGTGCTTTTTTGTTGGCACTTCAGAGTACTCATGAACTCTCTGCGCTTGGCAAATGGGCGTAGTTTGCCTCTTGATCAGGTACGCGTGGCTCCCATAATGGTCCAGAAGCGGAACGACTCTGTGGGCCTGTCCACCATAGAAAAGATTGTACCCTGCAGTGTTTGGAGAAAATGGCGAAAAAGCGAAATGAAACGGTTAAAAGCCTGCAAAAGCTTTTGTTCTACACGACTGAGGCAGCGATTCTGACGAGTTTCTCCTTGGCATGGAGCCAATAAGCGTACGATAGATACGGTAGATGTATGTAATAAATACATCATGCAGCTCCGCAGCCGCTTTTCACTTCATATTGTACTTCGCAAATGAAGCGATACGAGCATGAGCTCAGTCGGACATTTGTGGGCGGCTAGGTCGGTATGTTGCACCTTGATAGGACGCTATAGGGGTACTTCCTTGGATAAAACGCCACACAGCGCCCGCTCAAGGGCACCGAGTTCTGTCCCGCTAGGCGTTAGACTTATAAATCTGAAGCGTCTTGGGGATTTATCGTGCCACCTGCGTTTAACGCTGATCGTTGTTCGAATAAAAGTTTACTTTGCAGAGGTGAACCGGCGAAATGGGTGGCAAATCCTTCCAAAGCTCAAATCATGCCGGTAGAATGCAGCTCATCGTCTGTACCATCGACACTCGAAAGTTCCACTTCAGAAGCACCTTCTCGATTATAAG